TCCATCCATGTGTCATCCAAGATGGGGCTCTGGAACAGAGAAGGGACTAGAGAAAAACTGGGAAAACCTGAATACAATACAGACTCCAGTCAATAATGTGTCAAACTGCCTCATTAACCATTATGAACATACCACACTAACTAACGTAAGATAATATTGCTGGATGTAAAGTATATGGGAACTCCTGTATTATCATCACGGTATATTTTGCTAATCTAATATTCTAATGCTGGGTGTAGTGAAGAGAGATAGTAATCCCAGCACTGGGGAGGCTGAGGCAGGAGAGTCACAAGTTTGAAGTGAGCCTAGTCTGCATAGTGAGTTCAAGGTCAACCCTAAAGAAGTAGAATCAAGTAAATAAGTAGATAGATGATAGATGATAGATAGATAAGATGTGTTCTGAATTTAAAAAAACCAATATCCTACCAAATTATTGGAAACAAAAGATACTCAGACTGGAAAGGGAGGAAGAAAACTTGGAGGGTGGTATGATAATCAATGAGGAAAATAAGGAAGAGTCAATAACAACAACCAAAAGTTCTGGAATTAATAAGAGATTATAATAGTATTACAGAATATAAAACTAATGTAAAAGCCTCCTATATAATAATTAGTCCTGCAATTGCTTTCTTATCCGTGAGCAGCCAGTGAGTGGGATTGGAAATAAAAAGGATAGCACAATTTTTGTTAGCAAGTCCATAAAAGTGGAATTTGTAAGTAAAAAAAAAATTCACAATAGGAAAACTAACATTCTGATCGAAGAAGTAAATAAAGGAGAAGAGACTGCACGTTCACAGTTAGGAAGACTCAACAATGTCAGCATGCGTTTCCAGACTCGACGTCTGCCCTATTTGTTTCCAGTTGCAATGATAAAATACCCTGACAAAGCAACGTGGGGGGAAGGGTTTATTTTGGCTCACAGTTCCCGGATTTAGTCTATCACTTCTGGGAAGCCATATCGACAGTCAAGAACTCAAAATGGACAATGGCTTGAAATGTGAAGTGCAAAACTATAAAACTTCTAGGAGACAAAGCCTGGGTGGCCTTGTACTTTCTGGGGTACAAAATTAAAGATGTGAAAAAATGGTTAAAAATTGGACATCATTAAAAATTTAAATTCTCTAAAAAACACAATGTCAAGGGAATGAGAAGACAAGTCACAAACTAGGAGAAAATAACTGCTAACAGCCCATTCTGATAAAGGACTATTACCCAAAATATAGAAAGAACTCTTAAGGGGTGATGGCAGAAAAATAATGTATATGATTTTAACATGAGCCAGAGAATAACAGACACCTCACCAAAGAAAATGCACACACAGAAAATAAGAAAGTGAAGAGGGCTGGGCATGGCGGCTCCAGCCTAATCCCAGCACTCAGGAGGCAGAGGCAGGCAGATCTCTGTGAGTTCAAGGCCAGCCTGGTCTACATAGTGAGTTCCAGGTCTCAGGAAACCCTGTCTCAAAAAGAACAAAAACAAAAACGATTATGAATAGTTCATGCTTCACTTACATGTTATCAAGGAAATACAATTAAAACAGTAATGGGCTGGAGAGATGGCTCAGCAGTTAAGAGCATTGACTGCTCTTGCGAAGGACTGGGGTTCCATTCCCAGCACCCACATGGTGGCTAACGACCATCTGTAACTCCAGTTCCAGGGCATCTGACGGCTTCTTCTGACCTCCCTGGGCATTACACAACACAGGTGCATTTGCATACATGCAGACAATACAGTCATACAGCATGAAATTAAAATAATACATAAAATATATATTTTTTAAAAAACAGCAATGTGATTCCACTATATACCCAATGGAACAACCAAAATCCCAGCTGCAGAGAAAACTCAGTGGTTAAGAGCTCTTGCTGTACAATCTTGAGGACCAGAGTACAGATCCACCATCCATGTAGCAAGCTGAACATCCCCACAAATTATTGTAATGCCACCTCCAAGGAAGGCAGGGACAGAAGGATCACTGGAGTTGCTGGTTTCCAGCCTAGCTCCAGACTCAGGGAGAGACCTGCCTCAAAGGAATAGACAGAAGGTGGTGCTCTCTTCTGGCCTTTGTGCGTGAACACAAGCAAGCACATGCACACCTACATATGCACATACAATCACAATTTCATATATACACACACACACACACACACACACACACACACATAGATAAATAAATCTTTACAGAAAAGAATGTCCAGAATGCAGCACACTGACATCACTAAATGATGCTGAAAATGTTGAGCAACAGGAACTTCTATTCACACAAACGCAAACTAGCACAGCCCCCCTCGAAGACAGTCTGGCAGTTTTTTTGTTTTTTGTTGTTTGGTTTCTTTTTGGTCTTTTTGAGACAGAGTCTCCCTGTAGCCCCAGCTGTCCTGGAACTCGCTTTGTAGACCAGGCTGGCCTTGAACTCACAGAGATCCGCCTGCCTCTGCCTCCCAGAGTGCTGGGATTAAAGGCATGTGCCACCACACCCGGTTAGTCTGGCCGTTTTTAAGAGACCCAAACTATACTATCACTCCATCTCTCCATCACTCCATCACTCCATCTCTCCATCACTCCATCACTCCATCTCTCCATCACTCCATCACTCCATCTCTCCATCACTCCATCACTCCATCTCTCCATCACTCCATCACTCCATCTCTCCATCACTCCATCACTCCATCTCTCCATCACTCCATCACTCCATCTCTCCATCACTCCATCACTCCATCTCTCCATCACTCCATCACTCCATCTCTCCATCACTCCATCACTCCATCTCTCCATCACTCCATCACTCCATCTCTCCATCACTCCATCACTCCATCTCTCCATCACTCCATCACTCCATCTCTCCATCACTCCATCACTCCATCTCTCCATCACTCCATCACTCCATCTCTCCATCACTCCATCACTCCATCACTCCATCTCTCCATCACTCCATCTCTCCATCACTCCATCACCCCATCTCTCCATCACTCCATCACTCCATCTCTCCATCACTCCATCACTCCATCTCTCCATCACTCCATCACTCCATCTCTCCATCACTCCATCACTCCATCTCTCCATCACTCCATCACTCCATCTCTCCATCACTCCATCACTCCATCTCTCCATCACTCCATCACTCCATCTCTCCATCACTCCATCACTCCATCTCTCCATCACTCCATCACTCCATCTCTCCATCACTCCATCACTCCATCTCTCCATCACTCCATCACTCCATCTCTCCATCACTCCATCACTCCATCTCTCCATCACTCCATCACTCCATCTCTCCATCACTCCATCACTCCATCTCTCCATCACTCCATCACTCCATCTCTCCATCACTCCATCACTCCATCTCTCCATCACTCCATCACTCCATCTCTCCATCACTCCATCACTCCATCACTCCATCTCTCCATCACTCCATCTCTCCATCACTCCATCACCCCATCTCTCCATCACTCCATCACTCCATCTCTCCATCACTCCATCACTCCATCTCTCCATCACTCCATCACTCCATCTCTCCATCACTCCATCACTCCATCTCTCCATCACTCCATCACTCCATCTCTCCATCACTCCATCACTCCATCTCTCCATCACTCCATCACTCCATCTCTCCATCACTCCATCACTCCATCTCTCCATCACTCCATCACTCCATCTCTCCATCACTCCATCACTCCATCTCTCCATCACTCCATCACTCCATCTCTCCATCACTCCATCACTCCATCTCTCCATCACTCCATCACCCCATCTCTCCATCACTCCATCACTCCATCTCTCCATCACTCCATCACCCCATCTCTCCATCACTCCATCACTCCATCTCTCCATCACTCCATCACCCCATCTCTCCATCACTCCATCACTCCATCACTCCATCTCTCCATCACTCCATCTCTCCATCACTCCATCACCCCATCTCTCCATCACTCCATCACTCCATCACTCCATCACTCCATCACTCCATCACTCCATCACTCCATCACTCCATCACTCCATCACTCCATCACTCCATCACTCCATCACTCCATCACTCCATCACTCCATCACTCCATCACTCCATCACTCCATCACTCCATCACTCCATCACTCCATCACTCCATCACTCCATCTCTCCATCACTCCATCACTCCCATCACTCCATCTCTCCATCACTCCATCACTCCATCACTCCATCACTCCTCACCCCATCTCTCCATCACTCCATCACTCCATCACTCCATCACTCCATCATTCCATCTCTCCATCACTCCATCTCTCCATCACTCCATCTCTCCATCTCTCCATCACTCCATTACCCCATCTCTCCACCACTCCATCTCTCCATCACCCCATCTCTCCATCACCCCATTTCTCCATCACTCTATCACTCCTATACACATGAGACTCCTTCTTAGCAACGGCAGTGCCTTCATTTACTTGGTCATGAAAATATTTGGTTCTTGTTAAAAATTCAGGTTTCCAGGCCACTTCTCTTAGAACCTGTGAGCATGAGGCAGTGGTGAAACTATGTGTCTAATATATACTCTAAATGGTGCTGAAAATCAGAGGAAATGTGGAATGTTGCTTTGGAAGAGGGTGAAAATATCTTTTAGCCTATGGCCACCTGGTATGAAGCTTGATGTAGTATCAAGAGCTTCCAGTGTTCACTTTCTTGGTAGACACCAGGCCATACTCCATCTCCTCTTCTTTACACCCTGGAACAAAGCTGACTTCCCCGTCTCAGCCCTGATCTCTCCCAATAAAGCTTCATTGTAGCTTAAGAGAAGTATAAACCAAGAGAAGATGATTATAACTATGGCTGGCCTTTCAGAACAGTCTCAGATTACATGAAAAGCGGTAGTCTTCCTTTCTGTCTGCGCACTTGTGGGGTCAGATTCCTGAAAAGGCAGCAGTGTGTTGGGCCATGCTTCTAAATGAGGTGGCACTGTGCCAGAGCGCCTTAGAAGCCACACAACAAACGCCAAGCATTAACCTGCTATTGCAGAGGTAGAAAAGAGATATAAATAGTCTGGAAAGTAGAAATATTTTTCTAATAAAGGAAAATATGGTATGATATAAAACTTTCACAAATGCTTTAAAAAGAGGAAAAGAAAGTTGCTGCTTCCTAATAAGTAAAAATAAAATTTAAAAAACACCACCTAGTTCAAGTCTCTAGGAGTGAATAAAACCAAAGATGGGCAGAAAACGATAAATTATTGAGAGAAAAGAAGAATCTCTAAGTAAATGTAGAGATAAACCATGTTCATGGATTGTAAAAATTCATACAATATTGCAAAAAATGTCTGGTTTTCCCAAATTGACTTATAGATTCAATGTAATTTTAATAACAAGATGCTTCTAAAATTTATTTGAAAATAAAAAAGGCCTGTGACTCAGCCAAAACATTCTTAGCAGAGAAAAGGGTTGTTCTACAGAAAACAAACTTATGAAGCCTCAGTAACTAAGTCAGGGTAGTGGCACAGCATAAGGACAGGCAGATCAATGGGACAGAATAAAGAGCAGGGGCTAGAGAGATGGCTCCGTGGTTGAGAGTGCATACTGCTCTTGTAGAGGACCCATGCCAGGCAGCTCACAACTGCCCGTACCTCCAGCTCCAGGGGACCTAACATCCTCTCCAGCATCTTCAGATATTACATGCATGTGCACAAACCTGCATTCAAGACACAAAGGCATATACATAATTAAAATTAAAAATATATCTTAAAAAAACAAACTACAGGCTGGAGAGAGGGCTCAGGGATTAAGAGCACTGACTGCTCTTGCAGAAGACCCGGGTTCAAGTCCCAGCACCCACATGGCAGCTATGAACCATCCTTAACTCCAGTTCCAGGGGAATCCAAAGCCCTCTTCTGACCTCAGCGACATTGCATGACACGGGTGCACTCACATACATGCAGGCAATACACTCATACACATAAAATAAAAATAAGAATAATAATAAATAA